GGTTCTCAGCAGAAGGGTGGGGAGTTAATACTTTTGGTTGGATTAGCAAGTATATTGTATACCCCTAGGCGTTTAAAGTGAACTCCTTTGCATTTGAGTTGTTGTTGCTGTTTTGCTATAATATTGCTAGTTTTTTTTTTTTTTTTTTTTCTTTGCTATAATATTGTTAGTTTGCTTTTTTTTTTTTTTTGCTATAATATTTCTAGTTTGTGAGTTGATACCTTTGGTTGGATTAACAAGTATACCCCTGGGCGTTTAAAGTGAACTCCTTTCAATTTGAGTTGTTGTTGCTGTTTTGCTATAATATTGCTAGTTTGCTTTGTTTTCATCTTTTATAGTTTTGAAAGAAAAAAAAAATTCCCTAACAATTATGCGATCAGATAAAAGCAAAATATGGACTATACGTTTAGAACCTTTTTTTTAATATCCATATTGTAATATATTTATTTGTTTTAATTTTAAGGTCAAGTAATGTTTTTATTTTTTTATATTATAATTATAATGTCAATTTATGTTTTTTTCTCCGAAAATATGATACATGTTAGTAAAATGATAAATTATGTGAATGAGTTTAATAAAACATTCAAGACGACAAAAGATAAATTAGTTAATTTTAGAAAACAAATGAAAATGTTAATCATTGGAGAAACTATTTGATAAAAGCTTTTTGTCAAATAAAAGTTAGTTGCAAAAGTAAAAAGTTTTAAGAGGTTAACCATTGAAGATATTCTTACGAGAAAATAGTTTAACTCAAAAAATGGTTGGAATTCCAAATGATATTGTTGTATCTATTTTGCCAAACTCCCATCGACGTGCAATGTTTGGCAAACTTTTGAGTTTGTTGAAATGGCTTTTGGTTGGTGCTTTGTTCAAGAGTGAAGGGAATTCCAAGTTTGCACGTCACTCTCGAATATATTAGAGCTAGAGACAAATATGTGCCGGTGTGTGAGCATTTGGGCACTTCAACAGGTTTGGTATGGACACCTCGGATATTGTGGTTTACCAAGATGAAGTGAGTATTCTCACACACATATTAGATAGAGAAGTATCTAATTCCGTATTTCAAACGTTCACATTTTCATTTCTTTTTTTGAATGAAGTATTTATGTCGAGCTTCAACTTGTTATGAACTATGGTACATGGCTAGTTTGATTTATAATAGAATCCTTTGTATTTTATAGTTTAAAAAGAATATGGTTCATTAACATCAAATGATTCAAAATTGAGAAAGCAAAATTGATGGCCAATACAAAATAGACTTTAAGGACCCATCAAGCAAATGCCACTTTCGTTCCTAAGACACCGTCATTTTGAACATCTCTTTAAAAAGGGAACAGTAAATCATGAGATAAAAAATGCTTTCATATCGGGTCGATTCCCCTTCCTAGAGCAATAATGCGCTATCAACATATATTTTATGCAAGTGAAGCCATACCTCATTGGGGTCCCACACATATACTCTAAAGGCCTGTTCATTGCTAGATACAAGTTGTACTGCGTTTGATATGACATGTATTGGATTGAGACGGACACTAATTACAATATGACAAAAACTATACTATCTTCGTCCCATATTTATTGTCAACTTTTGACTTTTGAAGTCTTTATTCTTCTTCTTTGACCTTAAATATTTTTATCTTTGATATATAAAACCTGATTAAAAATATATGAATGGATTGTATTTTAAATGTTTTTTCATTGCTATAAGTTTCAACTGGTAATACATAACACAAATAAAAATATTTAAGGTCAAAGTTGATGAATAATGACTTCAAAAGTCAAAAGTGGACAATAATTATGAAACAGATGGAGTATTATTTTGTCTCACTCAAAAAAGGACATGGATTCGCTCTCGATTTTCTCTGTATGTGTAAAAGACTTAACTAACCTCTTCTCTAGAAATCTTATCGGGTCTAAAGAGTGGCCTTCCACGACAATGGCCCAAGCATAAGATTCCTCTTAAGTGATCCATGGAATCCAATTCCTTGAGGATTACACCACAACTTTTTGCCAAAGTGATTGTGACAAAAACCAATCTACCCCTCTACAAAATGAGGTTCTCCAACACTAATTTACCAATTTCAACTAGCGGTTTCAATATCAAAATGGGATCGGGATTATCACAAGAAGCAGATACACAACAGATTCCAAGGTCACCCACAAAACCCACACCAGCACCACGGACTCATGAAAACCATCAAACCGCAAAAACCACGGTTACAACCACAAGCACACGGTTGAACCGCTTTCCTCATGACTGTGAAGCCATTTTGAAGGATGCAGATACTGTTATCAATAAGTCTTCGATTGATCAGCTTTATGCTGGTGTGTTTTTGAACCAAAAGAGAATGGTATGTCATGTTTGCATCTCAATCTTTATAGTTTTCCTTTACTTAAAAGTTTTACCCATGTGATATGTTACTTTTTAGAGTACAATTGTGTTATATCACTTTTTCTGAGTATAGTTTAGAAGTTTGTTATTGGTTTTATTCAGTCCCTAAGTCACTCATTATTTGTTAAGCCTTTCGCCCATGACTTCAAGACCAATGGTTTGATATTAGGGTTACCAAACAGTGATTTACGGACGAAAAAAGTCAAAAGATAATACTTCTGTACTTATAGAAGAAAAGTGATAGAACACAGGGGCAAAAACTGTAATTTACTCAACTTTTTAAGCATTTGGTACATAAATTCCATTTGTGTCCTATGTTTTGGTAAATGACGAGAATGCCCTCGTCTTATATGCAATTTTGTTTTTTGGTTGAATCAGAAGTATTGGGTTGACAAGGCATCAAATGGCAACTGCTTCTTGGTGTTTGCAAGGGACCTCTCCATCGCTTGGCAAGACGACAATCGTTATTGGCATTGGTCCTCCATTAAAGAAACAAGGTGATTACTCATTACAATCGAAAGCAAAAAATTATAAATGTTGCTTTGATATTTATAAATTATAACATTAAAAGTAAAAGAAAAAACACAAGCGATTAAAATACCAGCTTTTCCTCTGTTTATGCAGTGATCAAGAGTTTATAGATGTTGTGGAATTGTTAAACGTCTGCTGGTTTGATGTCGCTGGAAAATTTGAGACGGCGAAATTAACACCGGGATTGAAATACGAGGTCGTATTCATGGTGATGCTGAAAGATCCTGCTTACGGGTGGGAAGTTCCGATCAACGTCAGACTCGTCCTGCCGGACGGAAGCAAACAAGAATACAAAGAAAACATGGTGGAAAAGCCGAGATCGCGGTGGTTTGATATTCCGGTAGGCGAGTTTACGGCGGAAGCAAAGAACGGAGGATTTATCGAGTTCTCGTTGTACGAACATGAAGCTGGGGCTTGGAAGAGGGGTTTACTCGTCAAAGGTGCGGCCATTAGACCCAAAAAATGAGATCGGACTATAATCATATTTGTTACCTTTCATTGAGTTGGGCTTTAGACTTGGTGATCGGACTATATTTGTTGTCTAATAATGGCCTTTTTTGGCCTAAGTGTTTTATAATTATAATTAACAGGGATATGACATGAACACCTCTATATTTATATAAAAGTTATAAAGAGATTAGGAAATCCAATATTTCCATACTCCAATTTGGGTTCATATTGATTGGATCATCATATTTATGTTTGGCATGTGGGTTTTTACAAATGAGAAGTTTAATATGATTCCTCATTCTCACTTCAATATAAGCTTGTCAAGTCCCCAAATATCCAAACTCCTATTTAGGCTTAGGCCATCCGGAGTGGATAGCTTTCCACTCGTGAAGGGGAGCTGGAGGGGCTAAGGACGCATGAACACCGCCCCCAGTCCCGGTGGTTTGGCTGTGGCGTCTTTGTATAGACGGATTAAGACCGGTGATCTAATTGACTTAATTTTTTTCCCCTTATATTTTTTCTCTTTCTCTCTCATTCTTTTTGCCTTTTCACACCCTCACCACTAGTGAATACCATTTCCACAACCTAATGGAATGGGTAAATAGTGACATGACATCCTTTTCACTTTTAAACTACCGGTGACCACTCCAGACAGCCTTAGGGTATCTTTGTATCCAAACTCCAATACGTACCTTTTATTTCTATAGGTATTTGACAAAAACAATGTATATTTTTTAAATATATAAATTATATAAAAATAGAAAGTTAAAAGCTATTTCAATAGCTTTAGAATTAAGAGTTTTTTTTTGTTTGAAATTAAAATCAAAAGCCAACAAAGTTTTATTATTATTATTATTATTTTTTTTTTTTGAACAATCTCCTTAATGTTGATTGATTCAATTTAGTATTATGATATATACTTTAGACTTGAGCGCTTGATAATTAACAAGTATATTTTATATTTTAGGCTTGAAGGCTTGATAATTAACAAGTATATTTGAGTTTAATGGAAACACTAAGGTCTCGTTTGATAGTTTTTGTCTGGGAAAGTGTTGTCTGGTAAAATGTTGTCTAGGAAAGTTTTCTGACTGAGAAAGAAACCATGTTGTTTGATTGTACATCTGATTGGCTGTGCTGAATGATGAAAAAAAGTAATAATTCAATAAAAAATAAATTTAAAAAAAAGTTATTTAAAAAAAATTAATAATCCAAGAAATAAATAAAGAGGCGGGGTTTGATGCATAATTGTCTTTCCAGCTCATTCAGCCAGAAAGATATGATTTTGGGGCTTTCTGGGAAAGACATATCTTACCGGGAAAGACCCTTTTTTTGTGCAAATCAAACAATCTTTCCGGTCCATTCAGCCAGAAAGATCTGTTTGGACCTGGAAAGATACGTATCAAACGGGGTCTTACTCCCACTTGTATATAACCATTAGGGCAACATTTGGACTTCATAACTAACGAGTTTATTAGGACAATATATTTAAACTTTTATTTGAGTTTTGAAATTATATTGATTGGCAACAAGACACAAAGAGATGATATATCATGATAATCAACTCCTTATAAGATAATAAGATGTATGCATACCAATTTTTATGAAGAAAATTATAACGATGTATGCAGTATGCTTATTGATAGATATAAAGTAGTATACATAGGAGGACAAGAAAAAGTACAAAATATAATTTGCTTATAACTCTACGATGCAGTCAAAAGTAAATAAATAAAAAAGAAAATTAAAACGAACAAATAACAACAATAAGGCGTATTAGTCTTTTATGTTAATTATAATTCTGTGTTATAATCATCTGGCTTGTACCATAAAGAGAAATCAATTCCCTTGCCTTTAAGTTCCTCTGTAGCAGCACCAATTTTCTCCAAAAGCTACAATTCAAAGTTAGCACTTCGATTACAACATAAGTTTAAAATAAATAAATAAAAGTACGTTTTTATATTTTGCATTCAAGTAATTCATACATGTAAATTGAAAAACATACCTTAGCATGCAATACACCATTTGAAACCAAGAGCGATCTGTCAAACACAGTGAATTTTCCACCATCCATGCAAGAAACTGTCCCACCAGCTTCTTCAACTATCTGCTCGATTTAAAAAAAAAAAAAACAATTTAAAAAAATTAAAATAGAGTTTTTAAGCTAATTTTGAGGATAAATAATTAAATACTAGCATTTACCAAAACACCAGCAGCCATATCCCACGGCTTGAGACGAAACTCCCAATATGCTTCTACAATGCCCAGAGCCACGTGGCACATATCCACAGCAGCTGCACCTAATCTTCTCACACCCTAAAAAAAACTCAATCCTTATCATAAAAATCACAAAATGAAAAATAATAATAATAATAATAATAATAAAATTAAATATTTTACCCGACTGATGTCTGTAAATTCTTTGAATAAATTCATATTGGCAGCCCATGGATCATCATGTTCGTATCCAAACCCGGTCACCAGTAGAGATCGTTCAACCTTATCAGTCTGACTAACATGAATCTTTTGCCCATTACAAAATGCACCTCCACCTAAAATTACATAAAAATTAAAAATACTCACTTTTTAATTTATGCTTAATTAATCATAATTATAAATACATTCAACGAAATAATTTAATTACTTCGTACCTGAAACCGCAGAAAATGTGCGTGTGTTCCAACACATGGCACCTCCAACAAACTCTACCTACCAACAAAAATGTAAAGAAGCTCAATAACATTTATAAAAAATATTTTGTAAATCTAAGCCATTAAATTAAAAAAGTTAAATAAGTTTATGATAAATACCACAGCAGCAGCTGCAGGCTTTCCTTTGAAAAGCACTCCTACAGAGACTGCAAAGCTTGGATACCCATGAGCAAAATTTGTTGTCCCATCTATATATTTGAAAGAAATGAGTATATATATCAAGTCAATGTAAAAAAAAAAAAAAAAAAAAAAAAAGTGTTGAATTACATACCCAAAGGGTCTATGCACCAAAGATAATCAGAAGATGAGTCTCCAATGACACCTCCTTCTTCCCCTAGAATAAGATGATCTGGGAAATTCTTCCTTACAACATTAAGAATGGCTGCCTCGCTCATTTTATCTGTGCTGCATGTAAGCAATAACTAAATCTCCATTACACACCATGAAAGAATTGAAAGAAGATAATGTGTGTGTAGAAGAAGGAAGCTTGTAGACATACTCGGTAACCAAATCAGTGAGTCCTTTATAGCTGATGTTTCTAGGCTTATTTACAGCTTCCATCACAACCTGAGAAGAGAAACAAATCTATAAGTAAGAACTCATGAGAATTGAGAAAGGGGATCTAATTTATGTAGAGCAACAGAAGGTACGCAATTTCATGTGCCCTAGTATCTTGAGAGAGATTCAGAGATAGGATTGTGCAAACCTCGGCACCGGTTTTGGCAGCGATTTCGACGCTTTCGAGGAGCTGGGCAGATGGAATTGGACCGGTTGATGATGCACCGATCTTGGAGTATGTCAGATTCTGATAAGAGATTTCTGATAGCACTGCTTTTGTGGTGGTACTGCGGCATGATAATCTCGACTTCAAACATAAACACACAGGATTGCTAGTAGTAAGGCTAAATTGACCAGGACGATGATGTTGAGAATTTGAAGTGAAATTATAGGGTTTAACAGGATGGATAAACGAGTGAACTGAATTGGGGATTTGATTGAATCTCGAAGAGAAGATTCTTGATGATGAAACCGGAAAAGTTCCCATTCTTCGATAGTTTTTTCGCGCAGAGAATTCAGGGTCTGTGCGTTTGATTCCACCAGTTCAATCTCTTTCGATCCTCTCTTAGTCGAGGGTTTACATCATGTTCTTAGCAGCACTCATTTGATGAATCCGATAATGGTCTCACTTCCCGACAAATCGTTTTTTCACAGCATCTCCATCGCAAAATTCGTAGCAAGAATATCAAACCGGAATTTTGCGGTTGTGCACAAAATTGTAAACTTAAAATGCACATTTGGTTTTTTTTTTTTTTTTTCTATTAAATTAAAGTAAAATTAGATGTGGAAATAGCGATGAGCAAAGGAATCGACTCGGGAACCGAACTTGGTGGAAAATAGGAACCGAACCGGACCGTCGATTCTACCGGTTCCGGTTCCTACCGGTTCTTGCCGAGTCTTCAATGTTGGAACCGGTGCTCGAGAAATAGCAACATATGGTTCCGGTTTTTGCCGGTTCTACAGGTTTCGGTTCAAAAAATCCACAAGAATATCATCTCGGTCCCGGCCCGACCGGTTCCATCGGGTTCCGGTTTCGGTACCGGTTCCGGGTCCGGTACCGGTTCCGGCCGGTTCTCCGGTCCATATGCTCATCCTTATGTGGAAATATAGAGAAAATCACATATTAGTCCAACAATATATTTCAAATTTGTTCATCCAGTCCTTTAACTTATTTCTATGCTTTATGAATGAATAAAGTTGTTTTTGTCAAGTTTAATTGGTCACTTGGATAAAATGAAAGGATAACATGGTTACCCCTTTGCCACATAGACACTTGTTGACTTTGAAAAGTGTAAAAGGATTATTAGAAGGGGAATCAGCCACAACAAGGGAGAAAGACCATGTTTCGCCTCTGCTTCGGGTTTTTGGCATAATACTTTAGCTTTAAACCATCCTTCATGTTGGAGTTAGAAGCTTCATGTGTAGCGCCCGGTTCCTGGTACATACTTTTAATATGAATTTTTGCACTTTTACTCTGGGACTCGGCGAGTTGGAGGCCCCAACTCGTCGAGTAGAGGTGAAACTTGGAAGCGGGTGGAAGGACCTACTCGCCGAGTCAAATGCCCCGACTCGACAAGTAGGCCTGTCTGAAGGAAGCCCTAATTTTAGGGGTTGGCACCCTATTTAAACACCTTAACTGGCCTTCATTACAGCCTCCATCACCTCCAAACAGCATTCACGAAACCCTAGCCCATTTTAAGTATTCTTGAGCCATAGTTGTGTGTTTGTGGTGATTTTGAAGCTAGAGAAGGAAGAGAAAGCTCGAAGGTTCTTGGGGAAGCAAGTAGATCCAAAGATTTTGCCACTTTTCCAGCTCATTTGAGGTATAAAGTCTATACCCTTCTTATTCCTTCCTTAGATCCCTCCATGGGGTAAGTTAGGGTTTTATGGAGCATTTTATGGAACCATTCATGGGTGCAAGCTTGATTGGGAGTTATAACTTCGGATACAGAGCCTTAAAGGGACCCCATGGCAAAAAGGTGCCAACTTTGTGGCCATGGCAGTCGCATGCATCATATAAACCTCTTTTTAGGACCATTTGAGCCAAATACACCATGCATGAACGTCAAGTTTGTAACTTTACGTGTAGTATGGACCCTAGGAGGTCAGATCTATGTTTTGAATGCATTAAGCCAGACTGAAGTCGACTGAATAGTTTTGGACATGGAGGGACCCGACGAGTCACTCATGTGACTCGGCGAGTCGGGTCGTAGTTTTCCCCAAACCTCTTCTGATAATGAACAATGTGCTGAGTTGGAAGAAGACTCAGCCAGTTGGGTTCATTGTGGACCTAAAGATCATGGAACTCATCGAGTTCAAGACTAAGCCCCAAATGCATGAAGAAGAACTCGACGAGTTCATGGAGAACTCGGCGAGCTCTTGAAAGACTCGGCGAGTAGGGTCGAAGTTTTTAGCATTCTAAGGATTATGGAACTCGGCGAGTTGGTGGGTCAACTCGGCGAGTGGAGTCAACCAGATGTTGACTTTGACCCAGAGTTGACTTTGACCAAGGTGTTGACCTTGACTTTGGCTTTGACCTGAGTTGGCCCTCGAAAGGAGTTAAGAGTATGAAATGGTAATTAAGGAAGATTATTATGTGTAGGAATTGAGAGGAATTGATCCCGGCAGCGAGGACAGTTCAGACACTTCACGACACTGAGGTGAGTTACCTTCCAGTAGAAGTGGATCGAAGGCTCCAAGGCCAGCCTACTAGTAAGAGTTATAGTAGAGATAATTGTCTTTGTGATAATTGTATGGTATATTGTTATATGTTATTATTATGTGCTAGTATGCTATAGTGTTATGTGATATGAGATAGATGGGGAAGGATAAACCCCAGTACCGGTTAATAGGGCCGAAGGGGTATGCCAGCACCCAGATAAGTTAGGCAGTATATGACTTGTATGTTTATGCACTAGAATGTTATGTGGTAGAGTAGGGGTGAAATAGTCCCCAGTACAAGTCGAAAGGACCGAAGGGGTAGGCCAGCACCCTGATATACTAGGCAAGGTACCGGTCGACAGGACCGAAAGGGAAGCCAGCACCCGGATATGCTAGGCAAAGTACCGGTCGACAGGACCGAAGGGGTAGTTAGTACCCAGTTATGATATTCAGTATGTGTTATGTATGGTATGTGGTATGATGGGGGAACTCACTAAGCTTTGTGCTTATAGTTTTCAGTTTTGTTTCAGGTACCTCTTCATCGAAGGGGAAGGAGCAGGCACCGTAGCAGCGCGCGCATTACACACACAGAGGATTTTTGCACTATGACATTTTTGGGATTGTACTCTGATGTTATTATAGTTTTCATGATATGAATTGAGACATGTGATTGTGGTTTTGATGAAACGATATGACTTGATGATATTTTCTTATAAACGATTTTCTAAATTGTTATATCAAAATGAAATTTTTGGTCTTGAAAATTGGGATGTTACAAGTTGGTATTAGAGCCTTGGTTTGATGGATTCGGACACACCTTCAGGAGTGTCTGGACTCAAATCGAGGGTTTGAAAGATTTTTCACAAGAAAATAGTTTTCCAAAAGTTAAAATAAAGAGTTTTGAGAAAGAACAAGGTGTGTGATGTGTGCAACCGGCCGAGCTCAATTAGTTTTTCCCAAGGTACCCATACACTTTATGCTATGATAAGATATGATTATGAGAACTGCATGCTAGACTAGGGCTAAGGATCTAGGAAGGATGCCTTTTATGCCTGATGTATGTGTATGAGAACTACATGCTAGGATAGGGCTAAGGATCTAGGAAGATTCCTGATATGCCTGTTGTATCTGCTTATTAAGCTGCATGTTAGTATTGAGTAGTTAGTGATATGATAGCCTGGATAGGATATGCTTGGTTTGGGATACTCAATGCCCGAATGTTGCTTGCTTTGTGCTATCGGGAGTTCTAGTTATCTTTAATTAACTAGTAAACGAACACGCTAAGTTACATATTACGAGGACTAAATAATTTCAGAAGGTTAGGTTTAGCCCTATTTCGCAGCTCTCGTTTGAGTCTAACCGTTGTAGGGAGAGACCTCTCATTTGAAGAATTATCTGGTCTTAGTAATATGTAATGGTATTCGCAAGCTAGTTAAGGGAGATGACAGGGACTTCTTGTGCAGCTGATGGAGGAGAGTAGGTTGGAAAGTTACCCTAGGGTAAGCCTAGGATGAGGTTAGAGCAGCGAGCTGCAGCAGTAGTAGAAGGGACTTTTTGAAGTCGAGGCAATCCTTGAAGAAAGTACGGATAGATGTGGAAGGTAGTATGGGCCCGTACTACTGAAAGCAGAGGATCCGTACCCGAATCAGGGAGGGCCGAGATGGAACCAGGGAACTTGTAGAGTATGTGAGACCTCTCGAGATTATGTATAGCCCTGATAATTGTATGTTTTGTTTCAGAATGGTGGTGATTACGCGTCACAGAGCAGGAGGATCGGGATCAGGATCAGGATCAGGTTCGGGTTCGGGTTCCGAGCCAGTTGATGAGGGATTACGCGAGTTCATCGCGTCTGAGATCACGAAAGGCATCCTTGAGTCGACCCCGGTGATTTTCGGGTCGATCAAGGAAGGGATCAACGAGCTGATGGAGGAACGCCTTAGGGCGTTCAGGATCGACATGGCATCTGGCCAGACAGGGACTCACTCCTCTCCTTTCAAGGACTTCAGGGGATGTGGTGCATCAGACATCCATGGGGTGAAGGACCCCATTGTTGCTAGGAAGTGGATTGCAGACATGGAGTCTGCTCAGTTGACGAGCTTCTTCCATGAGGGGTCGAAGGTCCGGTATGATGCAGGTTGTTTGAGGGATAGAGCTACAGATTAGTGGGAGCCAGTTGGTGATTCACTAGCAGCCTCAACCATTGAGGCCATGACTTGGTCAGACTTTGTGGCCCGGTTTAGGGCAGAGTTTGCGCCGGCTGTGGAGCTCCAATAGCTGGCCAGGGAGTTCCTTGACATAAGACAGACGATAGAGACAGTGGCGGAGATCACCGCCAAGTTCTGGGAGAGGGCCTTATTGGTGCCTCAGTATGCAGGGGATGAGGAGATACGGAAGACCCACTATCACGACATATTGAGAGCTGATATCTGGAAACATGTCAGCTACTCGGCATGTCCGACATTGGATGACATGATTGCGAGGGCGATGGAGAAGGTGATTAATATAGAGCACCTCAGGAAGAGGAAGGCAGGAGATGGGCATAGTACTGGCGCTTCGGGGAAGAAGCCAAGGGATCCGACACTAGGTCGAAGGGCCAATAGGGCCAGGGCCGCTGCGGGAAGTACGACAAGACCAATGCGGGGGTATGTAGATTGGGATCATCGGGCTGCTACAAGTGCGGCAAGACTGGGCACTTGACACACCCCAAAACCAAGAACGGCGGAAACGTTCTGGGGCGGAGGACGTCATGTACAGTATCATAACAATGCAAAGTAGTAAACAAGCAACAACATTATCCATTGCAATAATAGTATGGTTTAATACATGTGTGTTCTTTCGTAGTAATATGACACCAAAACAAGTAATCAAAATAAAAGACGAGTCTTGAACGTGCTTCTTCTTCTCAAAACCTGGCATCGGTACCTGTCTACTGACGACCTGAGAATACAAGTTATTTTGAAAGCGTAGATCAGCATTTAAGCTGGTGAGTTCATAAGTATTTACTGTCAATGTTTGTATAAGTTTGAATGT